GTAGTATGTATAATTTTTTGAGTATGTTCATTTTTACGTACAAATATATACGTATTTTACAAATATAACAAAAACTATGGGCTCATATGCAATTTTTTCATATAACTTGCTTTGAAATATGTTAGATATAGTATATGAACATATTTAAAAGAATAAAATAGTATATATAGTACCACATGTTAGTATATGAGACATGTGCGTAACTACCACCGGGTGGTAGGATGGATTTTCCCTATATATATATATATATATATATATATATATATATATATATATATATATATATATGAAAACCTTGTTTATAAACGTTAAGAAAATTTAAAAACTTGATTCACATTTTGAAAAAATCTTTTTTTGTTATCTACTTTTCATATATTGTAAAATTCCATATATACGTACCTATGACTATTTTTTATACATATCTAATCTTATTTATGATTATCATTTTTATATGCATGGAACTTTTCTAATACACACATTTAGTTTTTTAAACACATGGTTACATTTTTTGAAATAGGCATAACATTAATTTTTTTTTGAATTACACATTTAGTTTTCTAATTGCTAAGCCGTATAGTAAGATTCACGAAGTAGTTTATTATTTTCCTATTCTTATAATTTTATATTGTTTAATTGGTTTCGAGATTTTTTTCTATAAGGAAAAACCTGATTTTTAGACAATAATGAAAACTTTTTTTCCACATAATTGACCATCCTTACCAAATGGTAATAATGAAAAACTTGTTATTTTCACATTTTTGTTGGGCTGAATATACGTTTTTTTAGTAATATGAGGGCATCCCACATTTCTTCCTGGATGGGCCGAGGCATACATGGCACACGGATTTTTTTTAAAAAGGAGGTGGCCTCATTCCACCGAGGCCCAAACCCACCTTGAGCGACACATTAAGTACAAATGCATCCACGTTCACAACCTCATGACCATTTATATTGGTCCCAATCAGGTAGAAATAAGGTCGTCGACCACTCTTGTCTGCTTTATGACCATTTGGTGTAAGGCAATTTCAGGGTTTGAGCCCTTCCAAACGAAATGACTGTGGATTTATGACCAATTCAGCTGGAGTCACTAAGAGAAGGTCACAAGTTGGCATATTTCTTGTAGTGTTGTTGTACTCACAAGTTGACCATTTGCTGCCCAAACGCCCACAAAGGAGGCACGTCTCCTGAAAGCCGCCTGGTGAAGCAGAAGTGAGACTTAGCCATCCGCCGCCTCATGCACCTTCAGAGCACCGCTCCCAAGCGCCAGATCATGCCGATCCACGCCAGCACCAGCCGCCTGCAAGCTACCACATGCTAGATCCCGCCGGATCCAGCCCGTCGGCGACGCACACCTTCAGATCTTGGTCGAGACAGTTCCAGGCGCCGCACCACACCACCACCAGTACGGATCATCAGAGGACACAAACCGGTGGCACACATGGATGGTCATGCCTTGACACTGCAGCACCCACAGGGCACGAGATCCAGGCGCAAGCGTCCCATTCTGGCGGCAGGAGGAGGCCAGCCAACCGCGGGGAGGGAAGGAGAAAGTCGGACAGGAAGAGCCCCGCCGCCGCCGTCAGCTCCGACGGCCTCCTCCGGCGGAGGCGCGGGAAGGGCAGCGATTTAAGGTACCCTAGGGCCAGCGGCAGGGGTGGCCTCCGGAGTCACCCTAGGAGCGACCCGGGAGGCGTTTTTCCATCCTACAACGCTGCACCTACTTTATAATTTCCGTATACTGAACTGATGGGCATGGGCCTTTCCTCCGCTAAGCATTTCAATGTGGAGACCTATTTTCCATCTGTGGCCAAATACATATGTCTTGCCTATTTACATAACCATCGTTAAATTATATGCTGCCTTATTGGCAGACTTGTTGTACTCTTAAAGCATTCCACTACATTTATGCCAGTTGGAAGACCAATTAATTCTGAGGCTGAATTCCTCCAAAGTAAAAGAAAATGTTAATTGGCTTAGCAGAGGGGTTTATTTGATAAAACTCAAAATTATAAAAGAAAAGCTGGTTATTAGCTTTACATAATTAGATTTTTTTTTGTTGAAATCTCTATCTGTTGCCTTGTGTTCCTCATATATTTGGTAAACTGAAAATAAATAAAATAGAGAACCATTGAAAAATATTTTTTTATTGTTCTCTATTTTTGGAGGGTGGATCAGGAGCTCCACTTGTGCGATATTAAGGTAAACTTAGAATCGCATGGGTGGTCCCATGACCCGAAAAAGGAGGGCCAACCATGCGCTCTAGATCATAATTTGTGCGTGGTATGTGTTATGTTGACTCTTGACTATTTTATAGCATAAATAAAGGAAATTGTAGGATGGCCCATGCATCTAATACATCATCCCTTAAATTCGTTGTATCTACAACTGCTGCTGCTGCTGCTGTGTACTCACTAGTCACTACTGGGCATGCATGCCAATGTGAACGGCAGAGCTAGCTGGAAGTTTTGATTGAATAGCGTTCTAAATGATCTTCATTTTGCGTTTATACCAAGAATTCTTTGGATGTATTATTTTATTTGATTTTGTTTTCTAATGCATGTTGCAAGTCAAGTTTGTCACGCAAATCTTTGTCCAAAGACTTTTTTTTTTCTAGAATGGCATGCCTGCATATTGATAAAAAAAATTGGCTGTGTATAATCAGCTCTCCTCTACGAGAACATAGATACATAGAAAGTGTAGTTAATGCAATGGAGGGTGCACACAGATGTGCATTGTTTATATCAGACAGGGCAAATTTGACTAATGTTGGTTGAGGTGGAGCAGAGTCTTGCGAGAATCTATGACTCACTGAGCCTTAATTTTCTTTCCTGCAGCAGTTGACTCCTCATACTGTTCTCTTCTGACCGGTAGAGTAGCTACAATCTCCTTGCACCTGACTGGCATTCTTCTTCCTCTTCCACACTATAAAGTCCCCCTGTTCATACTACTTAAAACAAAAGGACCACTGCTACAATAGTTGTCCGTTCGCCTTGACCGAACTCTCGTCTGAATGTGGCCGGCCGTCCTGGCAGGCGACTACGCAAGAGACCAACGAGAAGACTGGCCCACAGATCAGTGACGGTAATGTGGTGTGTCCAGTTCACTCAACAACAGCTCCTGATGCCGCGATTTCTTCACCGACGATGTTGCTTTTTTTCCTGGCCGCAGGCAGTTTCCCTGCAGATCCTGACGACTTGACCTCTGCTTCTCTGAGTCATATGTACACACATACACACCTGCACACTTGAGTATTAGTTTTGCACAGGTCCACTGAAAAACTTGCACATGGCAAGCTTACATGACGCAAATACTGTGTTCGGAGCCAATATGATTTCGTTAACTACTGCAAGCGAGTTGTCTATATATACGTGCAGGCACATCGCCCATAGCAACCTAAGCTACGGCTAATTCCGCTAGCAAAAAGAGTGACAATAGCAAGCAAGCGAGGCACAGGGGTGAGCTAGCTAGTAGAGTCCACTCGGCGGGCATGGCCATGGAGTTCGCCACGGGAGCGATGAGTGCCCTCCTCCCCAAGCTGGGCGAGCTGCTCCGGGAGGAGTATCACCTCAAGAAGCGTGTGAAGCAGGGGATCAAGGACCTCAAGGCCGAGCTCGAAAGCATGCGAACTGCCCTCGTCAAGGTGTCCAACGTCCCCTTGGACCAGCTTGATCCGCTGGTCAAGCTTTGGGCCAATGAGGTCAGAGAGCTATCTTATGTCATCGAGGACAGCCTCGACTCCTTCATGGTGTTCTTCCAAGGACTTGAGCCAACCAAGCCCCACACCACCTTTGTGGCTTTCATCAACAATATGCGCAACAAGATCACTGAGTTCAAGATGCGCCACAAAATAGCCAATGACATCAAAGACATCGAGAGCCAGGTCACGAAGGTGAAGGAAAGGTATGATCGGTACAAGGTCCACGGTGTTGCTGCTAATCTTGCCACAACCATGGTTGACCCTCGTCTATCAGTCATGTATAACAAGGTGTCTAACCTTGTTGGCATTGACAAGCCAATTGATGAGATAATGAAGAGCTTGTCCGAGGGCTGTCATATGGCCGAGAGATCAAAGCTCAAGACCGTCTCCATTGTTGGATTTGGAGGGTTGGGCAAGACAACTCTTGCCAAAGCGGAATATGACAAGCTTAACAAGAAATTCGACTGCGTTGCTTTCGTCCCAGTGGGTCAGAATCCTGACATGAAAAAAGTTCTTGGGGACATCATTCATGAACTTGGCCTGCAAATGTGTAATGTTGCATCGGTGATGGATGTAAGGCAGCTCATCAATCATCTGCGCAAATTCCTTTTGAATAAGAGGTACACACTACTCCACCTTATGCTAGTCAATGCAGTCTTCATGTGACATATGCCTAATAATAGGTGTGTCACCATAATAATTGTGTTTAATTACCATCAAATTGCACTCACAGATGTCATCCAGTACTTTGTGGATTTTCATATATACAGATTAATTACATGATGGTTGTTGTGGAGTCAACTCTCTCCATTTTGTTGTGTATATAGATAAAAGCATCTTGACTAGCCATCTGAAAATGATAGCATGTTTCATACTAGAGTTTAAGATGGCAATTAATATACAATATTTGGAAACCAAACTACCCAAAGCATACCTTAGAGCTCATACAACTTATAAACATAAGAAAATGATGGCAATTTTCTTCTTGAAGTTCAATACAGAAATGTTAATAAATCCTTCATTTGTGATTACCTGGATAGGATTACTTGCCCTTTTGTTTTCCCACATTTACATCTTAAGTGCTCCTTTCGGGTCAGGACTTTTTTTATGCGTTTGTCATGCCTTTTTGGATCTTGAGATTAACATGCTGCTCCCGTTTTAGTGGATAGAACTCTACATATGGTTTTACTAATTCAAGGCTCTTGCCTTCCCATGCAAATAGGTACTTGATTGTTATCGATGATATATGGGATGTACAAACATGGGATTTGATTAAATATGCTTTTCCGCACAATAATCTTGGAAGCAGAATAATGGCAACTACTTGTATTTGTGAAGTTGCCAAAAAAGTTGGTGGTATTTACAACATGAAACCGCTCAGTGATGATAACTCCAAAAAATTATTCTCCACCAGAATATTCGGTGAGGAAGGTACCAGTCTTGATAACCAATTTGTTGAAGTATCTGATAAAATTTTAAGGAAATGTGGTGGTGTGCCATTATCCATCATTACAATAGCCAGCTTGCTTGCTAGTAAACAGAGGGAGGATTGGCCTATGGTTTATGATTCTATTGGTTTTGGGCATGAAGACAATGAAGTTGTTCAGAACACTAGAAAGATATTGTCCTTTAGCTATTACTAGATGACCCGTTGCGCCCATGACGCAAAGGCCGAGAGCAAGCCAATTATTGAAAGAATGTGCATCAAAATATGTAGACACATAAGAAACCATATGGAAATAAATACTGATTGATGATAGATAGATGGTTGCTGATGGTACATGTTTTCTAAGAAGTTTACGAACTATCATTTACAATGTTATGAGCAAGGCATGTAGATAGACAGAGCTACATTAGACAAATGTATCACGGGATGTTTAGAACGATTTCTTCGAGGCAAGTCTTTATAGCTACTATTCTTCATGGCCCGAGGTGCACATATGCCTCACATCCAATGCAAACATGGCGTTGTGTGCCGACCATGCGAGGCAGCGGGCGTGGGACACCACGGCGGATCCATCGTCGATCTCACATCCATCGGCAACATGCAGACTCCACGCTTTGACAAGAGTAGTTCATGGGATACGTCAGCACCTCAAGTCCTCTGAGCTATTGTGTGTCTGATGTCCTGCTCTACCTCGCCGTTTACCGTACTTCCACTTCGAGGGGCACAACCAACCGTCGGACATGGACACTACCGAAACATTAAGGACGGTCACCGGTGGAAATTTAGAATAGTTTTATCTTACATGTAATCGTATGAATTTGATGATTTGCAAATGAGATATTAGATTGCGGAAACATTTTTTTGTTTGTTCACTATCTGCAGACACATCTGGAGACATCCGCACGTTTGGGAAAGGATTTTGATACTTATGGTTGTAGATTCTCTTATATTAAGATAAGTGGGAATAAATCTGACAAAACAATACAGATTATACCAATTACATAAAGTACAAGTTAGCATCAAAGATAATATTACAACTGTGCCATTGTGACAAGAGCCACACACTCTGGAGTCTGGACACCTATATACACGGGTTGCACATATGACATATAACGCCAGAGATAACCATGTGGTGGATTGTTGTCCTTTTCCATCGACCAGTTCATCCTCTTCCTCTCCCCACTGTACTCGAGAAAGCACCTGCTAGAGGCGGCTCACGCTGGGCTCCTTCTTCGCGGCGGATCATGCTGCAGCTTGGCGGGGGAGTGGCTCCGGCTGCAGCTTAGAGGCGCTGCGGCTCCAACTGCATCTCGGTGGTTCGGCAGCTCGGAGGCGCAGCAGCTCCAACTGCATCTGGTGGTCCGGCAGATCCAACTGCATCTCGGCGGTTCGGCAGCTCCCGCTATAGCTTGAAGCTGCGGAATCGGCAGATGGCGCCGCTGCCACTCGTATCGGCGAGCCAAATCCTCATAGTTGTTGTTGTCGCTCCCTGCCGAAGGTGGCATTTGTTCTGGCTGTGTGGCAGCCTGGCACTCCCTGAAGCTAGTTACTTTCCACGGCAAGGGAGGCTCCAGCAAACCCACGGCGGTCGCCGTTGCTGCTCAGGTAAAAACTAACCTCCTTCGGTGTTTGATGAATCTGTAGAATTGTTGTGATTCAATTCCACTGTAGCACAAGGGGCACCATGATCTACTATTTTGCCTAGGGTAGTGGCATGGCAAAGTACATCTTCATTTTCTGAAAAATAGAACAAGATGCAGGGACTGATCACTCGTAGAAGTAAACTCCAAAAGGAGAAGCTTATAACTTCACTAAATAACTATACCAGAAGCAACATTATTGATTACATCCTCATGGTTTCGTCATTGACGTTGCTGATGTGGTGCATCGGCCCACATCGGTGAACCAACGTCGGAGTTGAACTTGTTGATGGACAATGACGGAATGCATCCCCTGAATGAAGTGAGCATTTTCCTGTTTGTTTATCTAGCCTCTCATTCTTACCTTAGACATACAAATGAAAAAAGAGGTACTCCCTCCGTTCGAAAAAGTTTGTCTCAAGCTTGTCTCTCAAATGGATGTATCTAGCACTAATTTGATGCTAGATACATTCATTTGAGGGACAAGCTTTTTCGTACAGAGGGAGTATGGGAGAAAGAGGGTGGAGACTAAATAAAGATAAACCAAGATACCGAATTAATACAGAGTGATAATGAAAATAGAAAACGAAATGTGAATAAAGAGAAACCAAAGACTCGTAAAACAGAGAGTAAGAACGAACAACGAGGACCTAGCACTACTATGTTAATAGGCAAGTCTCAAGAGTAGTGTTGATACTTAGATGAGTGATGCAACGTTGGAGTACTAATTAGTGGCTGGGACTGCTCCAACCATCGAGCGGGGTATATTGTATATAATACGTAGTTGAGTGATCGCCTTTAGATGTTTCAGATGCTGAAGAGTATTTTCCAATGAACATATATATTATGCTATGCATCCTGACATATGCACTTCCTTGGAATTGTTGATATGTATGTATCATTGCTAGCAGACGTCGTTGGCCTACTTGGAGAACAAATAAGCATTTTAACATAAGGGCATCACAAAAAATCAGAATACAAAAACTATGTTAGGTCTGCAGTTTTTTTCATGCATCATCTGAGTTTAGTGTACTTTTTGTGCAGCAGCAACCAGAAGCCAAAAGAACCCAATACTGAACAATCTAAAATAAAAACATGTCCACAAGCCTAATAACATTGAAAGTCTGAGTCCTACTACAACAGTTCAAACAATCAATAGTCAGAAGAGGCTAATTAAGGTACTGGTATAAGGTACTTAACTGGGTATACACAATATCTAGGATCAAAGAATTTAGATAAGATGCCAAGGGTTCTTCACTCTATAAATGGAACTCACCTGAACACTAAAGCCATGGTTGTCATTGCATAGCTCTAGACTAAATAATAAGGGCAATACCAAAAGATTTATGCATTAGTGCATGAACTAAGATAAAATAAAATAAGCCTATAATGATGGTGTTACTTTCTTGCGCAAGCACCAAAACTTTGCCAAAAAGTAAAATATACTGGGAGCATTGTACCTTTATTTTCCCTATAATCCTTGCCCTTGCTTCTAGATTATATGATGGCGGTGCAAGCTAGCCAACATCTTCAGATTAGTCCATCCAAAAAGCACCCCAAAGGTAACAGTTGGATTGATTGTGTCATTCCTGAAACGTCATTATCAGAAATTCAGTTGGTGCTTAATAGTAAATAAAAGTGCAGGACATGCTCATCACGCTTACCTAGGACTCATAGGCCTTATCTAATCCCTCGCCAAAGCAAATCATCTATTCTATGTGAAATAGGTAAGAGGTAGGCAAAAATGCTATATACCAAAGAGTATACGTCAATCTAAACTGACGTACTGCTCACAAGAAACAGAGTATGATAACACGTCGTTGCTCACTCTAAAAATAAAATAAGTTGTTGGAAAGGAGGGGGGCTATTTTATTTATACAGTTTAGTTTTGTGATTTAGTGCAAATAAGAACATGTCCAAACCTGATAGGCACGGCACCAAAGAGTATACGTCAATCTAAACTGACGTACTGCTCACAAGAAACAGAGTATGATAACATGTCGTTGCTCACTCTAAAAATAAAATAAGTTGTTGGAAAGGTGGGGAGCTATTTTATTTATATAGTTTATTAGTTTTGTGATTTAGTAGCAGTACAAATAAGAACATGTCCAAACCTGATAGGCACGGCAATCTCAAATCCATGGGGTCAGTTTGGTTAGATCAGGATGAGCAGAAATGAAATGCACCATATACATTTTCCATGCATCAACATACATTTTCAGTTTAATCAAGACATGTGTTATTCTCTGAATATGAAAATCACACGGCCAATTTCTAATAGTACCCTACTTTTTTCTGTATGGCTCCTGTGATTTTTGAGAGTGCAAACCGATGAGATTAGCTTAACTAAATTGTCTCAGAATCGCATAGAGACTACAGCAGCAGCAAGAAAGTATTATGGTTTTCCCTAAAAAAATAAAGCATCATGGTTAAACTTATGCAGCTATCAACGCCTGTTTTAATGAAACAGAATAAACTTAAATTAACTACAGTCTCTCACAATTCCATTAATTAGAGACTACAACAGCGGCAAGAAAGCATCGTGGTTTAGGTTTTGCAACTACCAAAATGTGAGCTCATGCGAACAAAAGATAGTAAATTATTCAGCCTAGCATCATGGTTCAGCATACAAAATTACCAAATGGCATCTTCAGCCATGTCTTATAGTTCCAGGAAAAAGAATTACGAGAAAGTTCACCCATTAATGTGACTCAAATTCAACTTACCACAAGGTTAGAGCAGTTAATCGTCATCCGCGTTGGCTTCGTTTGCTCGATCATTTTGCTCTACAGCATTGGCTCTGTATCTAGTTTCCTCTGTTTTGCTCCAGACTGCCTTTGCTTCTGAAGATTGCAGAAAGGGCTAAGTGCAATTGAATAAAGCTGAATATATTTCTGTAACGATTTTTTCTAAATACAAAAGCTACCCACTACATACAAAGGAACCCCAAATTCATGCAATCCCTCGTACATAAGGATATAGAGATAGAGTCAATAAAAATCAATTGATTTAACAACTTCTATTTATTTATACTCCCATTTTATAAATTCCATTGTTGTTAACAACATCTATTTATGTATGCTCCCAGATTCTCACCAACAATCTAAAGCATTGAGCCACTGCACCATTCACTTGCATTGCCACATAGATTATTTATTCATGCAACATCTAAACTCAAAGAACATCGGACTGTAAAAGAATTGAGGAGACAAGTAGACAACAACACAGACCATCCAATGCAGTCCTCAGGGGCTCTACCAACTCTGGGAACTCAATCTCATCAAGCGCTTTGAAGACGTCTTCGGCGTTGCTTGTCTGCATCTTTCCTTCCTTGCACACATCATCTGACCTGCAAATAATTAAGATCACACTCATGTTACTATCATCATCCAAAAAGCAGCACACCACAAGTATAAGCATAATATTATTTATACTCTCAGGCGGCTCTCCCCTCTACCAAACAGCAGAGCAATTAGCTAAAAATCTCAACTATGGAAATCCTAAACCAGCAGTGCTAACTATAAACCCCCAAACATTTCATATAAGCATCATATTT